CGGGAAGTGTTCATGACTGCAGTGAAGTGGGGAAAGCAGGTCTCAAAGTAGGAGATGCGATGTAATCTTATTTTTATTTTTAAAAACTCACACATACGGCAAGTATAGAGGAATGCACGAACATGTCAACAGGGGTTCCTGGTGGCTGTGGTCCTACAGTAACTTCTCGCCAATGAACTGTCAGCAGAACTTATGTGTGTTACTTCCGCTCCCCCTGGACACCTCTCTTCCTTTCCAAGAGCTGCAACATTCCAGCAACCCAGCTTCAATCACACAGCGGTGGGCTGCGCCCCAGCAGAAGCGGGAGGAATAGTAACCTCAGCGCACACAGCCACCCACCAGCCTTGACCAGCCGGACTACCATAGGACTGGTACAGGATTCCCTCACATGGGAGCCAATGCATTTTGGCCTCTTTATCACAACAGGCACACACCAAGGCATTGACAAAGGCCATCTCTAGGAAGGCAAGCCACTTCAGCTCCCACTGTCCGAGCTGCAGAAAGTCACCCCGTGTCCAGGAGGGCTAAGTTCCAGAAGAGAGTGGCCATGTGTCCACTGGTCCCAAGCCATGCCTCCCGTTTGGGAAAAGAACATCTGTGCCACTCGGTGTCCCGGAGATGCCAATGGCTATCTCAATCTGCACCCAGAGCACAGACCTCTACTCACTTGGCCAACCCAGGACTACCAGAAGCTAGAGTTTCTCCACTTCTTCTATTCCCATTCTCTGTTTCTCTACTTAGGTTGAAGAGATAGGAGGAAGGAGTGGGGGGCGATCGGGTGGGGAGAACTGAGATCCACTTAGGAGCTCCCTGATAATGGAAATGAACTGGAATGTACCACCTTCATAAAGACACCCATGTCAGGTGCGGTTATGGTGGGATGTGAGTATGATCTCACAGGTATTCCCATAATTAGCAGAAATGACTCCGAATCATCAAAATATGCTCAGTATGCTATCTACATGTAAAAACAAACAACCCACAACAAAACCCACACATCTGACCATGACAGGCTAGAAGCAGAGACACCCAGAATCACCTGAATTACATGACAGGCATCTTGGTAGAAATCCAAGCAAGGTAAGTTTCATACATTTCATTCAATAATTGAGCACCAACTATGTGGCAGACACTGTGCTAAGTTCTGAGAAGCACAAACAAACAAAACAGAATTCTTCCCTTAGAGCAGCGGTTCTCAACCTGTGGGTCGCCAACCTGTGGGTCGAGACCCCTTTGGGAGTCGAACGACCCTTTCACAGAGGTCACCTAAGACCATCAGAAAACACATATATAATTACAGATTGTGTTTGTGATTAATCACTATGCTTTAATTATGTTCAATTTGTAACAATGAAAATACATCCTGCATATCAGATATTTACATTACGACTCGTAACAGTAGCAAAATTACAGTTATGAAGTAGCCACGAAAATAATTTTATGGTTGGGGGTCACCACAACATGAGGAACTGTATGAAAGGGTCGCGACATTAGGAAGGTTGAGCACCACTGCCTTAGAAGAACTCCTCACTAGCAGGGGCATCTGGCAACGGTACAACTAAGCCTAGGACGATTTTCAGGTGATGCTAATCCACTGTGCTGGGACGATACTGAGCAGGGTTGACTCTGAAGATAGGACTCGTGAGCCTGAGGGACAGAACTTATAGGAAGAAACCTGGGCGAGGGCAAGGAGCGAGTAGGGGTGGGCTGAGGAGAGGAGGTAGGCAAATCTAGGACGTTCTTGAGTGGCCTGAATACTTTCTCCCCGAGGAAACCTTACCTGGCCCCAGCGAGGTGTGGCCCATAGGCCAATGGAGCAGAGAGATCAATTCATGGGCTCTGGAGTCGACCACTCTTCAGACTGAGTCCCCGCCTGCTCCTCGGTAGGAGCCTGGGCCCCGGAACCACCCAAGGTCGGGTCCTGCCTCCATCACTTCCCATCTGGAGCACCCTTGGCCGTTATCTAACCTCCCTGCGCTCAGTGTTCTCATCTGCAGAATGGACAAAACAACAGTGCCTACCTCACAGGGCGGTTGTGGAAATTGGCTGGTACCCAAAACAAAGGGCACAGCACCCAGCACAGAGCGGGCTCTGACATCATTCCTAGAAACCTCACCCAGTCTCATTTCCTTTGTCTGTAAATTAGGGTTTGGGAGGATTAACGAGACAGTAAAGCCCTAACACGAGGTCCTCCATAACTGAATGGCGCTGGCTGCTGATGCCCAGGAAACCACACTAACATTACCGGGCCAGGGGGAGAGCTCCCGGCCACGGCTGGAAGGAAGAGTTAGATGTGGGTGTTCACTGACTTCCCGGGCTCTGGCTGAAAGCCCTGGTCGAGTCTCACCTCAGGAGACCATGCAAAAGTCTAGGTGACCTATGAACCTGTGCAGGTCAACTCCGCCGCCTACCACTATGCAGGCCGCCCAGGGGAGGAAGGTAGGTGGGGCGCATGCCCATCCAAGGGGCAGCTGCACTCGGCTCCAGCCTGGTCTCGCCCTGGGAGAATGAGGGGGCAGCTCTTCCCTTTTTTCCAAGAAGATGGAAAGCCAGATTGCTAAGTATTCCTGATTTGGAAATGCCGGCAACTAATTCGAAAGCACTGGAAACACTGAACTAACTCAGCACAGCCCGCCCCAGGCCGGCGGGCCAGAGGTTCACGCCTTCTGATTTAGAGGCTTTGTACACTAACGTCCCTCCAATCCTCGTTGGCAATCTCCCCTGAAAAATTCTCAAGGGCCCGATGAAGAAAGGAAAAGCCAAATAGTCTGACACAGCTCGGCCAAGAGCCTCTTGAACTCGTGAGAGAACTGGCCCATCTTTGGGCATTTCTGTGAACTAGAGGGGCAATTTCCTGCCATTATAAGTCACTTCTAGTGGCTCCCCCACCAAACACTTACCTTCCACGCTAACATTTCCATCAGGCTCACTGCGTGCCAGTTCTGTTTTAAGCGCTGAACATATACTATCTCATGTAATCCTCACGACAGTCCAATGAGAGCCTGATAAGTGGGGAAACTGAGGCACAGAGGCGTTAAGAACGTGTACAAGGTCACACAGCCAGTACAGCGTGAGTTGGGCC